ACGGGTGGGGGGGGCTCAGAGCTGGGCAGCAGGAGGTGCGGGTGGGGGGAGAGCTCAGGGCTGGGGTTGGGGGCAGCCAAACATTTTTTTGCTTGGGGCAGCAAAAAACCTAGAGCCGGCCCTGGCACTGGGAGATATTCAGATAAAAGGCACTCTAAAAGGACTATTATCCTGTGATCCAAATAGAGATGGAAAGCAATACAGGATAACCTCTGATAAGCAAACATCATTTAGCCAATCAGTTCTGAATGGGTTCACTTTCTCCCAATTGCCTTTCACAGCACATGTGGTTTACCACACACCCGTTTGTCTGAATATTTTGGAGAAATATTCATTTCTGCTGAACTTTTTTTGGGGGGGGGACTTTTGTTACCTGGAAAAGTGATTGAACTCTGAGAGTGACCCAGCTGTAGTAAGTGGAAATGGAGGCAGGGAGCTGTAGCACCACAATGGGGTGCTTGGGAGGTGGCAAGCCAGCCATACTTGCTAAGAGAAGTTTGACTGCAGAGAAAGTCAACCCAGAGGAAAAGGAGCTCAGAAAAACTGTAGAATGCTTAGTCTGAACCTGAGGAGCTGGACATCTTTATGAGTGCTTGTCTACTCTGCTGACAAGGGAGGTACAACTTTGGGGGGTTTTTTGGTTGATACTATGTAGTCAGGAGCGAATCCCTTTGGGTGTTTTTGGTTCATTGTTTTTTTCCCCTTGCTTTGTCATGAGGGAGAACTTGAATTGCTTTTACAGGGCCCAAATTAATTTCCCCACCTCAAAGATGGAAACAGAACTCTTTGCCTGGAGGAATGGGACTGACGGGTTACCAAAAGGGTAATCATGAAAAGTTTTCCCTGCCTGAGGTGAAAGGAAACCAGTTTGTTTTAATCAGGCTATCAGATTGACTAGATTTAAAAAAAATTAATTGTTAATCCTTTATAACACCAAACCTCTTACAAAGTCTCTTGAGGTTGTAGAGAGTTCAACAGAGAATGGGGAACTTACCTCTAGACTGACAATCATATTTCTGGACAGATCTAACGATTGCAAGCTTTTAAAATTTTTGAAGGCATCTCCAAGGGAGTGGATTTTCCCTTCATATGTTCCCTGCAGTGAGAGGGACTCCACCTGTTCTGAAAGGAAAGAACTTGTAAAGGTCCTAAGGTCTCTCCTAGTTTTCTAAAAACTGAATGTAACTTATATTTTAGACTGTTCAATAACTCCAGTTTCATCAGCTGCTTGTATGTGCAAGAGCCTGACTTTTTCATTTTTAGAGGTTTCTCAGTAATAGTGAGCTGAAGTGCCCTTTTTTTGAGAGAAAATCTGACTCCGCTAGAATTCTGCGGTGAATGCCCCAACTGCCCTAAAAGAGGGGGGGAAATCACAGTAGTACTTCCTTTAAAATAACCCTTATTTCAGGACTGTAGTGTCCAGACCCACCATAGAAAACTGACTTATGTTGCAGGTGTCATACCCTTTAGAGCTTCACAGGGGAACCAGCCTGGAGGGGAAATGGGCAATTTTGGCTTATATAGCGCTCTTTTCTGCTGGTGTCTGTTACCATGATACATTATCTACACTAGGCTAAATACTCTGCACAGGTAAAGTAAGTGGGTGAGTCCTTATTTGAAAAAAAAAGTGCCATAACACACTTCTGATACTTCCTCAAAAAGTCCCAGAATGGTGTTCCAAAGCATTCTGGCGTGACTTGACCCCTGGGTAGAGTGTTTACTCCAAGTCTGCCATGCCCTGCTGGCTTCTCACCAAGTTTCTCTTCCAGTTGTCTATCAGCATCTGGACACACCTTGGTCAATCTTGAGCTACTACTGTCATTCGAGTCATAACATGAAGACTGTGGCAGGGTGGACTAGTCCAGAGGCCCCCTGCTGGAGGCCTCGTGGCCCTGTGTCTCCCTGCCCCAAAATAGAGCAGCGAGAAGTCCTCCAGGCAGTCTAGAGTGGCTGCAGAGGAGCAGCCAACCAGAGGGGCTGCTGGAGTGACCAGTAAGGGGCCAGATAAAAGGCAAGCTACAGAGCAGAGTCTTCAGTTGCCCTGTGGAGCCTGATGAGGGAGGACTGGGGGCTTGGCTGGCTAGACAAACAGGACCAGGACCATGGACAGCTCACTGCAGAGAGCTTACCAGACAGAACCACCCAGGGAAGGCTGCCAAAGACTGGGTGCCTGGCTGTCTGGATAGAATAGCAGCAGGACCACAAAAAGGTCAGGGTGGGCAGGCTGAGCCCGGGGGATGAATCCAGGACCTGGCCAGACCAGGCGAGGATACCAAGATGAGTCCTGCTAATCTGGTTGCAGACTGAGCCCAGAGAGGGCTGCTGAAAAGGACACCAGCTGAGGGTACCAAGATGGGCCTTGGCTGGGTGGTTGAAGAAGGCAGTGCCTCTGGAAAGAAGCCTGAGAGCTACGGCCCCATACCAGGGCCAGGATAAGAACCCGGGACTCTATATGCTGGAAGTGTGGGCAGTGTATGCAGGGCTGAGTTGCCGAAGACTTGCTGAGAGAACGATTGGCTGTGGGGTGCTCACGAGAGGCAAGTGCCACCCTGTTGAAAAAACTAAAACCAAACGCAGGATCACACCCAACCAACCAAAGGGGGCCGCCCGCATGATGTGGGTGCCACCCCTGAAAAGAACTGTGATTGCAGGTACATCGGCCAAAGAAAGGGGGCACTCATGAGACATGGGTGCCAACCCCATTACAAAGACCACGCGTGGATACGCTTTGCAAGAACTCAGTTGGAAGAAAGCAACGTTTAAGGGATTTGCTGCAAAAGGATTTTGCTGTATATTAAAGACTATGAATTTCTTCCACAGCAGCTCAGCCTCAGCCTAGAGTTTGTTTGCACTGAACCTTAGAAGATTTGGTCACCTGACAGCAGGTGATAACTGTAAATTGTTATGATCGCTCCCTTCCTGTGTGACCTGATCATGTACTATACCTAGGGTCCCGTTTTGAAAGGGACAGTCCCCCTTTTTGGGACTTTTTCTTATATAGGTGCCTATTAGCCCCCACCTCCTGTCCCGTTTTTTCACAGTTGCTATCTGGTCACCCTAACTATACCTGGCTTAATGTGCATCCTTTCTCAGCATCTCTGGATGTCAGGAAGTAGTCGGTAGTTCTCTCTCCTTTGATATGGCTAACATTATGCAGCTACAGCAATGAAAGAAATTGAATCCTTGCCATTCCAGCTTTTTTTTTTATTAATCTGTTGACTGTGTACACTCCATTGATCTCACTACAGCCAACTACCATAACCACACATTGACTGTGTAGCCAGCCTTGGGAACATTCAGCCAAGAATTAATTTCTATTCAGAGCAGGGCTTGACAACTCCTCTTGACAGTGTTGCTAGTAGGCATGTTTTCCTGGCAACTGCCATAAACTACAGCTGCCAGCCCTTATGGCTACAAACAAAACTCCTCAGTCATAACCAGAGTGTAACAGATGCAGTGCTGTCTGTGTGAATTTGCAGATAGTGCCAGTGCCTTTTCATAGAAATCGAATATCAGGGTTGGAAGGGACCTCAAGAAGTCATCTAGTCCAACCCCCTGCTGAAAGCAGGACCAAGCCCCAGACAGATTTTTGCCCCAGATCCCTAAATGGCCCCCTCAGGATTGAACTCACAATTCTGGGTTTAGCAGGCCAATGCTCAAACCATTGAGTTTGCTGCTGTTCAGAGCCATTCCATGCAGCAGCTGAGTGAAAACTAACCTGGTTCTGCTCAGTTTTCACTACTGCTATTCAGTATCTTGTGGCCAACCATGAAACTGACAAAAGTCTAATCAATTCCACTTTGCTGCTACTTGGCAGAATGAGGGGATGGAGCTGTGTGCTGGAGAAGAAAACAGAAGGGAGGACCGGACGATCTTCATCCGAGAATATTGAAGGAATTAGCGCGAGAAATAGCAGGCCCC